CCCCAAAACCCCAAAACCCCAAAACCCCAAAACCCCAGAGACCGTGAATAACTGATTTGATAGAATTAAATCTTAAAAATAAGAAAATAACATCTCAAATAAAATGACATTAATTTATAAACTTGACAAAGCCCCTCCTATTATTTAGACAGTCCTTGATGATCTCGGTTGGGTAGAATTCGAAGAGGAAAAACATCAATCAGATTAATGGAATTTACTCTGGAAATCTACAAGGTAAAATTTAATGAATAAATGGCTTAATCAAAACATTTTCTATCCTATAATTCTTAGAACTTCATAATAAATTTTAATAGACCAACGATGGGAGAGTTCAAAAGCTGCAAGCAATATCAAAAGCTTATTCATTTTCCAAAGACAGGGCTGCTATGTACTAAGGATAACCTGTGTTGATTAATGAAGAAAATGAAGGTAACATAGAAACTTTCAATTTTATCCAGCTTGGTTTTAATATTCATATTCATATAGACTATATTCGGGCCAGTGTATAACTTTACCCCGACTACATTCATTCTACCGAATGAATACAAAAAATTCGTAGAGGAGTTTACTAAGTCTGATGATAAGTAAATCTGGATATGCAAGCCTGCAGATTTGAGCAGAGGCAGAAAAATTTTCCTAATCAATGATATTGGAGAATTATAATATGACTAGCAAAGTATCATTCAGAAATATATAGCGAATCCGTTATTAATAAGGGGGTATAAATGGGATATGAGGGTTTATGTTCTTATAACTCAAGCTAGGCCCTTAAAGCTTTACCTTTACAAGGAGGGTATAGTAAGATTCTCAACTGAAAAATATGATACAAATACCATTAAAAATGTATTCTCTCACTTAACAAATAGTTCCATCAATAAATTTGCAGCCAATGTAAACATCATGAGTGGAGGGGCGTTTGGCTCAGGAATTAAGTGGACATTTAGTTAACTTAGATCCTATTTCAGAGTAATTAACATCCAAAAATCTCAGATTTTTATAGGATTAAAACATTGGATGGGATAAACTGTGGGTTAAGATTGAAAGCATAATAATTTTAACTGTAGTTAACTTGGCTTCAGCAATGCCGGACTTAGACTGTTGTTTTGAATTATTTGGATTTGATATTATGGTTGATAATTAGCTGAAACCTTGGCTAATTGAAGTCAATTCAAGTCCTGCTATGTCAATGGACAATAACATAGATTACTAAATCAAGCCAGATCTTATCAAAGATATTATTTCCCTCCTAAATTTTGAGCCATATGAAATCTTCAATGTAAGATATAATTTCTTTTTACATCTTGTTTAGGAAAAATTAAAGAAAAAGCAGACAATTATGAAGCAGTTAGGAGCTAATAACTTTTTTAAAAAAAGATCGCCAATAGTTTAAGCTAATTAGTACAATCCGAGTATTCTAAGCTAACAAAAACCATTCAATAAGTTAAATCTTTCTAACCACAAAAGTCTTCCTCTTACGAGCCAATAGACTCATTAGCCTAAACTTCTGAGCCATTTTTAACAAAATAACAATATGAGAAATAACATCAAAGAGCAACAGCTATTAGCTAGTCATGCGCTAAGGTATAATATAACTGCCTTTAAATTTTAGGAAAGCTACTTAGATGAATTTTTCACCTAGCATTATGAAATAAAAGGGAATAACTAACATGAGTACTAAGAGAACAGATGAATTCAGGTAAGAGAACCCACTTATCAATGAGAATGATGAGTCCTAGAATTCATAAATAGAGTCTCACTTCAATTGTAAGTAAATAAAAATTCAAGACAATTAATTTAGTAAGCTAATAAGATATTGTATCTTTACCAAACTTTTCTCTTCAAAAAGGAAGATCCTCATCAATAAGACCATAGCAATTAATGGCAAAAGGAATAAATCTTGTTGATGATATATAAAGAGGATATTTAGTCTAATCACAAAAAGCTGATTCTTTTGGACCTAATAAAAGCAATTATTCGACCAAAGTTGGGTACACTGCTCCCAAGATAAGCAGAAGTGTTGCAAGAAATGATCATAAGAAGTATAAGAACTTTCATAAGAGTATTCACTACACTTAGAGTGAGAACCCTAAAAATTCTATTGTTAATTGTGGACACACATCCTTACCGCAAACTGCCTATCAATCTATTCAAGGCATGACTGGCTCAATTACAAATATCGAGCAGGAAACACTCGGCCTGAATGACCAGATTGAAAGCACCTATTATAACATGGATAATAGAGGTTTTGCAAGTATGGGTAAAAAGCATAATGATTCATTTAGTATATCAGATACTAATTCGGTCATGATTTAGTCTCGGTCTAGCTAAAAGGATCATGTTATGACTCATGGCAAAGTAAACATTATAAATACTGGAGGAGCAATCATTGGCAATAGTGGAGGGGATAGCTTCATATCTTAATCGAAAAGAACTAAAACAGCTTGTTCCACTTAGGCTTCAATTCAAAAATTTAGCTCTAGAATACTAATGAAAGATATCGATGAAGGTGATGAGCACAATGAATAGAATCTTTCGTTTATGAATTAAACAAAGATGATAGGAGCTATAAACTCTATCCACTCTTCTCATAATGGTAATATAGCCAACCAGCAGCAAAATTCAAAATTAATTAACCTAAGCTCAAAGATTAATTTTAAGGAACGTGAAAAAAATGGAAAATTTGAGCTTATTTTCCCCTTTAACAAAGCTAGCGAGGATTTAGTCATAGCTTTAAATAGAAGTCAAGGTAGCAGCGTAAGTGGACCAAATTATATGAAAATGATCATTCAAGAGATAAAGAAATGGGAGTGCGAATACCTTGAATATATTAGTTCAAATTTCAATTATTGATCTATAAATTGTAAGCTTAGCAAGCTTGATCTCATCAAAGTATGAGTATTTGATAGTTATAAAGACTATTGACATAATAAGTGTATATGCTTAGATATAAGTAATATTATATTTATTAAATCAAGTAATATTTACTCAAATTAAAATCATTAAGGGCATTGTTAATCACATTTGCATAGCAACATTTTAATCCTATCTCAATTATCTCTTAGCAATTTTCTTCTAGGTCTTTACTTCTCTTTTTTTAGCTATGATTGTCCTGTAATACTATCTTAACTCACCAACATCTTTTCCTTAGGCATTTGCTTCCTCTATATTTTATTTTGTTGACTTAATTAGCTTTTTAATCTCTCTTAAATCTCTTTTCATTGCTGAGTAATCTTCATTAGAATAAAGTGGAGTGTTTATAGGCAAATTGTTAGTCATTTAGGTATCAATTTGTGTAGGCTATTAGTATAAGTCTTATTACTACTATATTTAATGCTGCTACTGCTAGATTTGAGTTTGCTGAGGTTGATTTATATTTATATTTGAAAAACTCAGCGTTATTGGTCCTGATGTACTTGATTAGTGATTACTGGTCACTCCTGTATTAATGACTATTGGCTGATTAGAGTATTGCTGGTTAGTTTAGATTGGAATCTAAATTGATGGGAAATTACTCTATTGCTATATCTCTGACTATTAATCATAATCGTAGCCAGTCTCGTTATACTCTGTATCTTGCCTGTAGGATGTTGCATCATCAAATTAGTCTTGCTGTCCAGAGTACATACTTGATTAGCCATCCTGGTAATTGCCTTGACTTCTTAGAGTACTACTATACAAGGCATTTAGTGTTATTTGATTTCCACTTAGTGCTTCTTTCCTTCTTTCCTTATTGTCTACTTTTTCTACTTTAACCAAATCTCCATCATCATTGAATACAAGCAGCTCTTCTTCTACATTATCTGCAAATCCATACTATTATGAAATATTATATGATTATCTTTATTACATCAATGATGTCCTTGAGAATTTTCTCTACTGCATGAACCTCTTCCTAATCTTCATTCGGTCTACAACAAATATTTTACAATAAACTTACTCTTTCTTGTGCCTAATATTTCTGATATTTTTGGCAACTGGAGCTAAACCATGTCTGAATTTTAGACATTCATAATGAATCTTCTCTCCTTTACCTTTCTACTCTTCAACCATTTTCTTAGTCTCTCCTTTTCTGTACAAACTGTTCAAAAATTCCTGATCTTCTAGCACAGGGTTATAGTCTTCTGCTATTCTGACTAACTCTTCAGGACTTTTTGTCTAAATATCTTCAATAACTTTATTGTGGACAAATAGTATCTATGCAACATCAACTGATTTGTAGAATGTCCTGAAATCCAGAGTTTTCTAGCCCTCAATTATATTAGGGAGGTCACATAGGGACGACAAGAAAATTTTGTTGTCTATTAGTAATCTAAAATTACTTATTAAGCTTTATCATAATATACCCATAGAGCTTTTTAGCGGGGTCAAGATTAATCAAGTCTAGACTTCTGTTAAGTTTTTATTCTTCTTAAGTAGTACTATGAATGATCTCTCTTATTGTTCTGGCGACTTGTTCGTTGGCTCGAAGTATAAATCCTTTATCAAGTTCTCCTTCCTTGAATATTTTACTTGTATTGATCGCCATGTAAATTATCAATTAATTATATTATCAAAATAGCCTAATTTTAATAATTTAAATACCAAACAAAATGAGTGAAGAAGAATCTAAATCCACAGATCATCAGCATCCTACTGAGCATTGCCATGAGGAGGGGCACCATCATCATCAACCAGGAGAGAAATGCGAAAAAATTATCATCAAGCCTCAATATAACATTCAGTTCTAGCATTTCGATATGGGAGGATGGGATTTTTATCACTCTGAGTATCCTATGTTTAGCGCAAAATAATTAGACTAAGTGTCAGATTTAGTGGGGACAATGAGTATGCCAGAAGTATTTTACGGGTTCAACAGATTATTCATCGTGAACACTGCTAAAGATATTCTCCTTGAGTTTGCCCCTGTTGAAGCTTTAAGTTTAGCAAGTTTTACTAAGAGAGAAGTCTTAGCAAAGAAAGGAGAGCAATCAATAGATTAATAGCTTGAGGCTTTGAATTTAAACCTTTCATAAAATGAACTCGGTCTCAATAAAATAGACCTGGTTCCTAAGAATATAGAAGTGAAGGATGCCTTTATATGGAAAAAGAAAGATATGACAAAGGTAAAGGATTTCAAGTAGATTGAGGTAATTTCTGATTGGACATACTCTTCAACTTACAAGGGGAATGTCAGATATCTCTCCAATCATGAAACCCGCTTGAAGCAGGAAACAACTCTTGAATTACATTCCAAGGGTGACGGCAATATTAGAATAGAATCTACTGAGGAAGCTATTCCCTTAGATAAACTTGGAAGAGAGAACCCAATCCTTCACTTTGGAGAGGTTTTCCTCTATGAAGACGATCTTGGTGATTAGGGATATACTAGAATGCAAATTAGATTCAGAGCAATGAAGGACTGCTTCTACGTTTTGGTCAGATACTATCTAAGAGTGGATGAAGTCTTAGTGAGAGTGTTTGATACCAGAATTTATCATGAGTTTGATCAAGATTATATTCACAGAGAATTCCAACACAAAGAAAGCACATATGATCAACTCAGAGCTAAAGATTTTAATCTTAATAGTGATTGGAGTTTGAGCAAAACTCAAAGCGATGAAGTATTCCCACACTTAGATCTCTAGTTTAAATGCTTAGATAAGGTATTCTTTTGATTATCAATTACTTTTAATTATTCAAGTAAGATCTATAATGCTGGGGTTTTGGGGTTTTGGGG